TATCGCTCAGAGGAGGAAGGAGGAGCAAATAGTAAATTTTAGGTCCAGTTTATCTGTCCTCATCTAAAGACAGGGCGAACGGTATCATTGAAGACGGTGCCCGGGAAGGACCCCCTGGCCCTGTTGGCTTCATTGCAGATATTGTAGCTGCCGGAAACTATAAGTACTAGGGTATTGACGTTAGTGATGAGACGGCAGGGGTACGGGTCGTAGACGACATTTTCTACAGATTCCCGCGTCATACACATATGTCTTCGGCCACCCGTACCCCTGTCCGTCTCATCAACTAGCCTCCATACCCGAGCATCTATAGTAACTCCAGGCGATGGTAGGTAGGATACCGATGAGTGATTGAGTGTGACCCCCGGGTCCCTGTCGGTATATCATAGCACTTGGACAAAAGTCATCTTTGGCTGGTCCAAGTATCCATACCGCCAAAACACACCAAAATGGTCCAAATTCAGGGTAACGAAAATCGCAAATTGCATCCTCATCTCTTGATCGATTAAAACAAAAAATATACCAATAAATAGTGGACAACCTAGGGGCTCTGAAATCCATATTTCTGTGACGAAGTCATTTGTTCTGTGAGCAGCTCTCAGCACTTGGTGTGGCCTATTCTAAAATCTAACCCAACTAACCGCCAAGAATTTGTATGGGCACTCATACGAAAAGATACTTGCTCCCAAAATCACGAATTCCACATCACTACAGTTCACGCAATATTGAACCATATGCTTCAAAATTTAAATCTCAGAATCAGAACACCTAAAATCGTTATTTCAGGAAGAATTGAACTACTTCCACCACAGGCGGTTGAATTATGGCACAGTGAAAAACAGCATTTTTGATGTAAAGTGGCTATCAACGATGACTTTTGTCACCGAATTGGTACCTCTCAGGCTCATTCAGGAAATTACACTAGCTCGAGACGGCAAGGGAATATGGTCAACCCTTCAGACTTCCGTCTGTGCGAAAGACAGATGTCCGGGACTACCGTCCCCCAGGTGGCTGCAGCTCGCCCAGGACGATTGTGCACATCTCAAACTACAAAAAACTACAAAATATCCCAGAATGAACAATAACCCTACCTATTTTATCCGCGAACCTCAGCCCAACATGCCTCCAATCACAGGAGAACACTTCAAATACTATATACGATCATAAAAAAGTGGTCGCCACTTTTTATTGTGTTTCGTGCAAGACCTGTATAATGGTGCGGAGGGCAAGCATACATACCGGTACGGAGAAGCCACAGGAGTATGGGGTCCGAATCTTGGCAGCGGGGGAGAAATTAAGGATAGTGGGAGAATTTGAGTGTCAAAATATTATAGAGGAAAGGCTTTAAACTAAAGTTAGCCAAATCATCAATGCAGGGGGGGTCAACCTTTCAAAGTGACAATAAGGTCAGTAATCCCAAGCGGGCAGTCCGGCCACGCCGTTCCTGAAATAGCCTCGGCCAGTCCCACAGTACCCGAAGCCTGACGAACTGGAGGGTTGGGTTCACCGTGTTAAACCAAATAGCCCTATGATTCTCGGACGCAACACCAACAGAGAAAACAGCTGTCACAGGCTACAGAACGGCAAAAGCCCCCAATGAGAGTATAACAAGAGTACGGGGATGGCTCCTACAAGAACTATCTGTGAATCGGGATTAAGAATAACAATTACATTAAGAGAAGGTGGTAAAATTATGTGAGAAAACTGACTGAGCCCAATACAAGCAGGAAACGTTACGCCTGAGCAGTTTGGGGCAAAGTGGAGTGGAAGAAGTGCTCATACATTACATATCCAAGCCTCCATAGCCGGTTTTACTAAGCATCGGGTGTGCAAGGATAACAGAAAAGGGGGAGCTTCAACTTCATATGGCGAGAACAGTTTCCTCCACAGGATTAGCAGAGTGGACAGCCAGTGATCTTGTGCACCGACAAATGATCTAGCCTAGAAATCCAATGACACCAATACCTAACTTAACCTCCAACAAATTGAGTCAACTTCCGAAGAAGTTTGTTAGCATATTTAATCAGGACTCAGCAAGTTTCACAAAGGGTAAGCGAATTACAGTCTGTATTAGCGGGTGGGAAAACATCAAAAATAAGAAGATTGTTAGAACAGTATTGAACTCTTGTGTCCTCTAAGCCAACTGAGGAAATTCCGGGCGTTAGCCTTGATGGAATAGTGATAATCCCCATAGCAGCTATGGAGACTAGTGGGATTGGATGAGAGTCCTGGTATCATTGGTGGAGGTGTATTGAGTCCATGGTAGGGTATAGCAAAAGGTGGTTGAATGCGTACTTTCAGTATTAGAGTGGACCTCCGCCTCCCTAGAGTGAACACGCTTTCCCCCATCTTTAGGCCATCCATGAACCCCCAACACCAACGTGTTTCCGATATTCCACTGCTGCTCATCTCCTAGCCATCAAGCCTGAGGTCCAGTTATACCTGTTTTCAAGGTATATAGCCATGCATGGACAATATGGGGAGCCAGAATTCTTGGACACAGTATCAGCTATTGCAACAGACTCTAGAAAACAAAGCCTAGAGTCAGATGTGTTCATGGTATGAGATCTTATGCGGTGTGGAAAGGGAAGCAGCTATCCCCACCCTTGGAAACAAGTTATTCTCGGTCACTATCGACCTCGTCAGATGTTAACTTCCGTTTCCGCAACTGGAACTATCCATCAAACTGCGGATCAGAGTACAAGCTAGTAAAGTTACTAAAATCACGAAAGCCAATATTTACCGTTCCAGAAAAGGCTTTACTGGAGAACTCCCGGCTGGGCAGTGGTACTATGGTGCTACGCGAGCGGCTTCCCTTCCTGCATCTCGGACACGACATGATAATATCCCTGTATCTCCTGCTACCGCTGTTGGTAGAGGAGATACTCTCTCACATGACGACTTGGAACGAGGGTCGCGTCACTGGATTGAGGACATGCGATCCAGTTCTACCACAAGGAGAGTTCTGCAGATCACCCGCAGATTTCTACAATACATCTTGTTTAAAACTACCACGAGCACCACAAGAACTCAATGGGGATCCTATATGGACAAACTTTGGGAAAAATCGTTTGATCAGAATGCGGATCTAGTATATGATCCGGTCTTGGCATAATGACAACAAGGGATTCGGAGTGGGGAGGATCTCTCTTCTGTCTCGTGGTTGCCGGGGGTTTTAGGCGGTGATATTATTGATCAGGTTATCCGATGCGAAGCTTTTCTTTCTGCAACCACAAAAGGATATCTGCAGAACGTTTGAGAATTGCCTACTTCGTTATGAATGCTAGTTTATTTGATTCCTCTGCTGCACTTTGCCCCCTTTTGCCATCATTTTATTTGCTTCTCTTCTTCCTACTACTACCCTCAAATGCCATTGTTTAGTGTTTTGTTAGCAGGGACTCCACCCCGCCGCGACTCCCGGATGGGAAAAGGCGCGTTCCATGGTTGGATCGACCACTCCCTGACCCACCCAACCTCCCCACTTCGTTGCGACACCGCAGCGGGCCGGTCAGCGATATAGAGTACGCAAAAACTCCTCTCTCGCACCTTCCGTATTTGGATCACCGTTAGCCTTCCTTTTCCGGTCACTCCCCCCCCACCCCCATCAAGCAGGTCCGGACGAGGTGAGTGCAGCCCCGTTCCCCACTCACTCCACCCCTAGCCCATCCACAGTCACTCCCGGCTATCCGGCATCTCGATCAGCCAGATCTCCCATTGTCTCACATAAATCTCCAAGAGTTCTGCATTCCCTCATCCAAAAACTGGCCTATTCTCCCCGATCACACACTGCACTACTGGTATTACCAAACAGATTCTTCGGACTTTGGTCATCCGGAGGGCGGGTGCGATGCTGTACAGAATCTAAACATAACACGGCAAAAACCCGTTGAATCCAACCACCCGGGATCGGAGGGATCTGCTAAAGAGCAAGGGTAAATTTGCCGAAGCCAAGACGTCGAGTGACCGGCGGTGAGACCGAGAGCTAAATGGATGGCACAAACCCTATCAGGTTGGAACTGTGTCTGTATTCTATCGAACTTGGGGGGCAATGCAAGTACGAGTACACGAAGCTTCAAGAACCTTGTCGATGTGCTCTGGGCTCTCACGTCAAATTAAATTTGATTGGGAATTGTGAAAGAGGGGTGACCTGAGTGCACTTCGCGCTTAGTACCATAATACGAGTCAAGGTAGAAAAGCGTAATATGGCTATCAAACCGGGGGGTGGGTGCACACTAGTTCAAAGTCCGAAACGTCTGTGGGGACGGAAGACGGAGTCTATCCATGAGTACCAATTAATCCAACAAGAGTTAGACTAAACCCCATTAGATATCTAGAAAGAGCGTGCATCCCTCCAATATCACCAGATTCTACTAACGGCCACGCGGCTCACCGCCCAACCCAGTAGGGAGTATCAGACTTGCACCAAGCAAGCATTTACAGTACCCGATACCCGAACAAGATCTCTATACTACCACTGTTAATTCCCCTAATAATATAGTACCGGTATTCTTGATCACGCACAATAGTTCTAATTTACCTCACAACTCACCCAGGCGAGTTGGCTTCCGTCGCACCCCGGTCCCGGTTCTCAATAATCTAGATACCACACTGCCCTGTACGAATCTCTATGAATTCTTAATTTTTTCCCCACCACAAATCGATCCACCGACCTCAATTACCCCCTATACTCGAGTACCTGGAAGTGGTTCTTCTATTCTTGCTGGACGGGATCGCAGGATGCAGCTGCACGAATACTCGTACTCGTACACGTACTGCACATTTCAGTTTCCGGTGCCTTAGGACCACAATTTCGGCATCATGCTGGTCACCAGATTTCCTGGCCTGTTTAATTTTCTCCCACCCTACCAAGTCGAGCTCCCTATTCCGGGTATTGGGTTTACCCAATTTCTGTAAACTCACTTCCTTACAGGCGATTTACGATTGTGAATATTCTCTATAAAAGGGGCCATTGAATCTCACATTTCAAAATCATCAGCCAACTCTGTCTTTCGTTCGTATACTTGCAATTGGCATCCACTCTTTTTATCATTCAACATGTTCAATTCTTTATCTTTCTCTACTGCGGCCTTGGCTGCTCTACTTCCCCTCCTGGCCAATGCGCAGATAGCCAGAGTCAGTCCAGCATACAATTATGAATTCCAGTTCCCTCTTCCGATCATGCCGGTGAAGACACCTACCACGTAGGAGGCTCTGTTCTATTCCTTGGGCCTGGATTCTGACGATTGCTCCAGGTCTTATACCAACGCTACCACTGGCGTTACGATCGACTTTTACGAAGTCAAGATGCAGGCATTGACCAAGAATTTATTCCCCGACCTTGGAGATGCAAGCTTGATTGGGTACGACGGTATGGTGCCGGGGCCTACCTTTCGCATTCCAAAGGGTAGAGAGACCGTCGTCCGTTTTGTGAATGAGTTCATACGCCCAGCCTCGGTTCATCTACATGGGTCGTACAGTAAGTCCCCTTTAAAATTTGTAATCGCCGGAATGATTACTCACTGTGATAATTTTAGGTCGTGCACGTGCGTTCCCACAGAACCTCCCACGCCGTACTACCCTAACTAACATTTGTGATACTTGTAGCATTCGACGGATGGGCGGAGGATATTATCCAACCGGGGGAGTTCAAGGACTACTATTATCCCAACAGCCAAACCTCCAGAACTCTTTGGTACCATGTATGGCCCCTTTAAAAATGTCCAACACGACAAGACCCCTGCTAGCTTTCTCCTTCTCACTCTTTCTTCCCTTCTTTTTTAATAGGATCATGCGGTTGGAATAACCTCTTTGAACACTTATGCCGGTCTCGCGGGAATGTACATCCTTGAAGATGCCGCTCAGGACGAAGCCCTCGACCTCCCCCGTGGAAACTACGACATCCCCTTGATATTGAACTCCCACAGATACACCGCGAGCGGCAACATCACGAACGAATCGGCCGAGCTGATAAGCGTGTACGGGGATACCTTCTCCGTCAACGGCCAGATCCTCCCGCACCTTGTGGTGGAGCCGCGCAAGTACCGTTTCCGCCTACTCAATGCCGCCGCGAGCCGGACCTTCAACGCCACGCTCCGGGCCGGGGACTCACTGACGAACAAGAAATTCCACGTTATCGGCTCTGACGCCGGGCTGATGTCCAACCCCGTGGAGACCGAATCGCTCGTTTCCGCCATGGCAGAAAGATGGGAGATAGTCATTGACTTTTCCGACGTCGCTGGCCAGAACGTGACGATGTACCAAGCGAACTGCTTCGTCGATACGGCATACACCGGCTCTGACAAGATTATGCAATTCCGTGTCGGTACCACGGTCTCCTCGGAAGTCGGTAACGGCCCTCTCCCCGCGACGCTCGTGGACCTGAACATACCGACGGATCACGAGACCATCGACCAAACATTTGCATTCGGAAGAACCAGCGGGCAGTGGACTATCAACGGACGAACATTCTCAGATGCTGCTAATAGAATCCTTCGTAACGTCCCGCGTGGAACAACCGAGAAGTGGAGGCTCACCGGCGGAAATGGATGGTCGCACCCTGTGCATCTTCACCTGGTTGACTTCCAGATTGTCTCCAGAGTGAAGGCAAACCAGAATTTGACCACTGGTAGGAACGGGCTGACGCCCTATGAAGCTGCCGCTCTCAAGGATGTTGCTGCCTTGGGTGACAACGAGATTGTTACCGTCCTTGCTAAATATGCTGCAAGCACCCCCCGTCCCCCACGCGCAACGCAAAACAAGCTAATTTGATCTGATATAGCCCTGGGACGGCGTATACATGTTCCACTGCCACAATACCATTCACGAAGACCACGACATGATGGCGGCATTCAATGTGACTGCGCTCCCGGACTTTGGTTACCCAGAATCAACCAAGTTTGAAGATCCCATGGAACCTCGCTTCAGGGCTGCGGCGTATACCGGCTCGTCCCTTGATGAGGTCCAGGAAAAGTTGGAGTTTTTCTCCTCGCTATCAGCTTATAATGATGTTGCTGGTATTCTAGCTGCATTGGAGGAGTATTACGAGAACCAATCTTGAGTTGGGATTTGCTTTTTTGTAGGGAGGAGGGAGGGAGGATTGATTAATTTGCATTTAATAGCTGACTTACTTACCGCAACTCACCACTAATTTTTCACATTGTCACCCATACTTGACCTCGTTTCCTTTTTGTATGATAGCCATTTTGATACTTTGGGGGAGGGCTTTGTACATTCGTTTGTTCGAGTATGCGAGTGGATTGACTGAGTCTTAGCCTTAATTACCGAAGGGTCACGCCGGAAGCAATGGGTATATAAATTGCCTCATCTAGTTTTCTATCTCCTTTAGCCATATCGTGCTCTCAATCGTTATCTCGAGCTCGTAATTGCCACAACGGCTAGCATTTAATCACTATATGTCACTCGAGTGGGCTATTGGATGGTGTGATCCGCTTACCGGATGAGAACAGTGTCCTGACACCTTTGAATTCGACAAGTGCAGACCCCACTTCTATTGATCTCTTCTCCACCACTCCTTTCGTCGTTAGACCGCCAGAACAGTACATTTGACTTTTTCTCATGCCCCTCCCACCCACATGACACCACAACCATACCTTACTCAACTCTGGTATTTCCCTTCTCTTATTACTTGTCATTCATTCTCTCCTCCTTGTGTCCTTTCTTCCCAAGCCTCTTCACATGACACCAACCTTGACTTTTCTCCATTTTCCTAGCGGCTCGTGGATATAAACCTACTTCTACGCCAGCTATATCCAATCAAGCTTGATTCTCCCTGTCCCCGGCGACAAACAACAACATAGGCACTGCAATTGCTCTTGCGCTAGGTTGCGATGCAGCCTGATTTAAATTTCCAGAAGAAAAAATAACTACCCATCCCGATCGCTCTTCACTCCTTACTCCTCGCCACCCTTCTTCCACCAGGGTGCGAACAAGCTACACGGGGGAGAAGGTATCATACCACCCAGGACCAAACCCAATGTACTAGAAGGACTGAGGGAAAGGCTTTGGACCCCCAACGGGCCACTGAGCTATCGCCCGTCTCGATGAGGGGATATCCATGCGCGCGTATCCTTCAGGCCAGGCGGATTTTAGCCATTGGTACAGGTGGCTGTCGTAATGGGCATTATGGTTTTGCTGTAGGGTTTAGATGAACCAAGAGCCAAAGCTCTGCATGTATGTATTTCCCTATATATATAGCGTCCGTCTCGGGCATAGCTAGGAAATACAAGTCAAGTCTTCCAATCCGCAACCACAACCGATTCCAACAGGGGTATCGTCCAAACAAACCACGCAGCATACACAATGCTGCGGGTTTTCGGTGAGGACACCATGCCAGCTCTGCATCATGATAAGGTACCCCATGGTTATGTCATGCTAGGGTATTCAGGACTATTTAACTTTAGGGGAGGGTGGATGTCCCTCTAGACGTCCAACTACCATGTTTTCCGGGAAGCGCAGTAAAACAACTCGCGCAGCCGAGTGTTAAGTCGGACACCCCCATACAACTTAGTAGTGACCGCTCTGCTAACGCTCCAAGCTGAGTGATGTAATTATATACACTGTATAGAATAGGCTGTAGGCAGGAACTTGTGAGGACTTTGCAAGCTCTTCCTCAGGCTGTGATTCGTCAAAAGTGTTAGACATTTGGTGAGAAGCTTCAAAGGGGCGGTATTTCGTAATGGAAACAATGGCTTCAATGGATAGATTCCAGATTATGCGGGTGTGTGATGGTTTGCCTGCTCATGTACTGGAACAAGCTGTGTAAGACTTTTTTCTTTTTGTATCGTATCGTATGTGGTTATTAGTTGTGTTGCATGGGCTCGTTATTAGTCCGACGATCCGTTTCTATATGAAGGTGTCCAGCTTCCACTCAGCCACGCGAGTTACCGGTACTTAAGCTATGGGGGGGACTTGGCTGTTAAGAATGCTGGATATGAAAAGAATCTGAGGCTAGCTCCGGGTATGATGCCGGGATGAAGGTTGTTTCATACAAGTACAAGTACTATACTAGTACAAGAAATGGTAGACCGGTAAGAGTTGATAGAAAAAAATACCGGAAAGGTCAAAAGACGAATACTTCAATGGATCTAAAAAGCAGGAATCGGGACCGGAGCTTCACTAAATGCATGGGGGATTTGTGTGTATTCACATTCCACTGTGAACATCAATACCTCTAGGGGTTCTTCACAGCAGGACTGTGAAAAATGGGCTTGTTTCTCACTACTTTCTTTTTGTTCTAACAGTAAATTCGTAACACCCCGGTACCATCTATTCACAGCTCATGAGAGTGGTGCTCGACCGCTCCCGTCTGCAAACTCGGGGTTGACGTCCTCCCACTGGATACCATAGAAGCTTCACAACCTCTTCACGGGAGGTTCCGGTAGAACAAATGAGCGGTGCTTGGCTAGAATCTGTTTCTACTTTATATTTGGGTTAACTTTATCACTGTCCAGTTCCATCTTTACGACTCCGTTATTCTTCTTTCTAACATCCGTGGCGAATGTACGAGTAGTATCTCCTTTAGATTCAATTGCGTTAATGCCCCTTTCCTTCATCTCCACCAACGCAACCATAATCTCCACGATCTTGGAGTACGCCTCAATAAAAGTCCTGTAAACCTCTCGGGGGCGTCCATATTACCGTACTCGAGTAAAAGACCCTCCTCTGCTACCGTAGTCTTTTTAGGCAATAAGAGGCCAGATCACATATGCTTGTCGAATCAATCAGTCTGACAGCAGGTGGTTTCGTGCTTCCTGTGATTTCCCTCTTGGCACCTATCCCTAGTAACATATTATACTTGTAGCGCAGACTCGACAAAGCGGGTTACCGGGGAAGTGGGTTACCGGGGGTGGTAAACGGAAGTTGTCGAAGGGCTTCTTGCAGGCCGGCAGCTGTGGCAGGTAAACCAAACCGACTGTCATCGGGTGGGGAGTATGATATGGAACGGATAGGTCCGCGGGAGAGACCTGGTACTCCTCCTGGAGAGTAAAGTGGACAAGGCGGGCCATAGAAAATGTCCCAAGCGTGCCGAGCCCGAGAAAGTATACTCGAGTACCGGTACTGCATGTCTTGGTATGGAAGGAACACTTAGGGTGTTGAGACCTGTAGATCCCGTCTCGGCTCCACGGAAGGTGCATAACTCGTGCGCGCTTGGCGGGTGCTACAAATTGAATAGCTAAATTGAAATTTTCATCTTAAGTCTTAAACATTCTTCCCTTCTGCGCTTTGGCCCGCTCCAGGGTTGCTCAGTGAGTACGAGTACTGTCCAACCTGCTATTTTTGGTAATCCAGGGCCACTTCTTCCTTCTCTAGTGGGTTGCCGTCTCTCCTGGGATCGTGAGGGAAGCCAAGTTGGGCATATCACCGTTTTTACAATGGTGAATAACCCATGCCTGAAAAGTGCCGTACTTGATTTTCCAACTCATACCTCAGAGACGGATCCTCATATCATAATATCCTCCTACAGTTCACTATCCATTACACTGTGCTCCTTGTCCCCACCCAACCCCATCTCCAGATATCACTTAATGCCCCCCTGGGTAGGTTAGACCGGAATAGTAACCACCCTTGTGAAAAATTTCTCAATTCCATCCGTGATATGCCGCTTTCCGGCGAGGAATATCCTACCTGTAGTGCCTGATAATTCCCCGATGGTATCGCCAGGGATCCGGGAGGCTCTAGTCTGTGTTTAGGAGTTCGTCCGAACTCTCGACACAAAAACTCGGTGATCGCAAGCCAATACTCATCCATGTTACAAAATTCTCATGGTTTCAAGATCTCGTCAGTATCTGTCGCCAGAGAAGTTCCTCCCCTCCTTCCCAATGCATGCCGTACATGCGCTTAAACCCCTTATCTGGTGACGGGTTGCCCGAATATGGCGCTTGTACGTGTATGTTCGAGGTGGAATGTCCGTCCTAGGCCTAGAAATTGCAACACGACCTTGCGAGGGTGGTGTCTTTTCCATTGTCTCCGTCCTATAAGTTACAGACCATTAGGGAGCTAATTCTTCCTTATCTTCAGTGTCACCGATAAGCTCAACGGGAGTGGTGTGAATCTGCCGATGAATAAGAAGAACGCGCCCAGATGTCACAAAACTATCGTAACTATACAAGACCAAGTCATCTCCATATCCAACATCTTTATTTCCTCTGGAATTTGTCCAAAACCATGAGAACTGGATCCAATAATACACTTTAATCAGCACCCTTCCTTATTTCCTACCGGACTTCTCCCACTAGAGTTAACTCTCCCCCGCACAGTCCGTTTGGTCATCCAGGTTTCTTAAATATTTCCAGATGGAGGGGCAGCCGCCATATCAGTTTTAGGATCAGAAAACAAGAAATAAAATAAAAAATTACAATACGCGGGATATCCGGCGTTCAAAGTAGATCGAAAGTAGAGGTAGTTTTTCTTGCTCGATTCACGTCCCGGAGACTGCCTTTCTTATGCCAACCAGTGGCGCCTACGAGTACATCCGAAGCAATACCAGTATGATACTTCCAACAATAGGAAACTTCTGAAGCTGGGTGACATTCCATGGAGGCACCGGCGCAGGTATGACATTGTTGGGTTCCTCTAAAAGGTGCACCAAATGGGCCGTGTAATCTTCTTCATCGGGAACCGGTGACAGAACTGCCGATATGGAAAACGGTATTCCCAGAAGTGATTTCACCGTATCACTGCTTCCAAGCATGGGGTTATCCCCTGCCGCAATCATTATTATTACCATTACGTATCACACTGTCCCATGAACCCTGTGGCGTTCAGTGGCTATGAAGCTACATGTACGAATACGGTACTGTAGCTGGTCGGGCATGGAGGTTAGCGATGGGATACAAGTAGATAGGAATTCGGGGTGTCAAAGCTGCTTACCCATCTTGGTGGTATCCCTGCTAGGTTACAGTAAATAGTTTGTTTTGACGGAATTGAACGCCAGGACTCAAAACCTCTGTCTATCCCGTCAGGGACCATCACAGACCTCCATACCCGAGTACCGGTTGCTAAGCTCATACAGTAGCTCCACAAGGTTCATGGTACTCGAGTACGTAATGATAATGCTATACATGACCGTGAGCGCTTGCTTGCTTGTCACACACACTCTCTCCCATAGGTCCAAACCTGCCTCCGGACAAATGTCCGCAAGAACTTGAAGCAATCGGGCGGTTGGCCATGCACTGTAGTCGAGAATTCCCTACTTTGGAAAAGGGGCGAAAAGGGCATAGCGAGAAAGTGGTACAGTAAACCCATCTGATGATCTGACAGACACAAAAGTGGGAGGGGAAAAAAAAAGTGCACCAGACCTTATCAGAAGAAGCAACTCCGGCGGCATCCTAGCATTTAGTTCGATTACCACTACCATATTCCGATTTTTCACTGTGGTCCATATCGGTACCTGTACCTTATCATACGGACGACTTACCCGCTCCACAGCTTGAATTTAGCACATCCGTAAGACCTGTCCGCCCTAACTCACTCGACCTCATGCGATTCCCCCGATCTTCCAGCGGCGGGATTGACAGTGACGATTAATAGGCCATCCCGGTGAAATCATAGCACTGAAGCACCATCACCCTCATACCGGTATTTGCCATTCATGTCTATCTACCGTATTGGTTTGTGTCCCGCCATTCCTCGGGCGGCAGGGGCGGTTGGCCGGTGTTGTCTACCAGGTGTGCACTTATTATTTCGCCGTGTTGGTCCAGTCTGCTTTTGGCCCTCGTTTGATGCTCCGACCATATTCTCACTATGAGCAAGCACCGATAGCCCCAACAAAAACCACTGAAACGCCGAATTCATTAAACTGGAGACCACTACAACAGGTCTTGTCTCAAGTGGGGGGGCTGCCTTTCTGGACGGGAGCAGCAGGCATTGATCATGTACCGTACTGTATTTAGAGTTCCTCTTTGCCCATAGCTCTGAATGCCAACAGGCCCCTCTCGGCGCCCAGCCTGAGCCGCCCCCCACCCCCCGGACGAGTCAAATGAAAACACTTGAACTGTAATGGTAGCTCCCTCCACGGTCCATGGTTGAAATCCATCCTAAGGATCGGCGGTTGAAGCAGGGTGACTATCTTTTGTCAGCGGACCCTTCTCTCTGACGTGAGGATTCTGCAGACGAAAGCGTTGAAAAACCCCCACACCTGACCAGAGGCCTCTCCGGAACGAGATAAATTCAAAGCTTCCTTTTGGCTAACATAGGGTCGGTTCCGGAACTCCCAGATTCTTGGGCACAAGCCCCCCCGGTGCTGCCCAGGGAGATATCATTTCAAGGAAGCCTTAAGATGCACTTGCACCAATAAAGGCGAGGCCAGAATACCAGCTGGCTCTGGTGATTGAAGTGCGGGCCTCCCCAATCATGCGGGGAATATACCGACTCAGTAACTGTATGAAACCATCCAAGATTTCCCCCGGTTCCACCGAACCCGAATACTTGGGCCCGGCATCTCTGGGCTCAAAAGTGGCCGTATCGCGCTTATCAAACCTGATAACCAACAACTTAGTCTATCCCATTGACCGATAAGCTCTCAAGAAACACCAAAATTACTAATCATGTCCCGCACAGTCGTCACACCAAAAAGGAATCAGACACCACGGCCATAATACCGGTACCTGTATTATATGAGTGACCGGCCATCAGAACATTAGAAGGGAAAATCAACAGAACCAGGCACACGGTATCATACCCCATAACGCAGGAAGCTGTGAGCTAAGCTTTCTCACTCTGTCGGGTGTAGGCAGCCACAATGCTGGCCTGCCAACCAGACGACAGGTCGGATAATGCCGGTCTTGTGGGCGAATTCCGAGCTGGGAACCTATTCCATGCAAGCAGATTTCGGGCCCTCCCTATACGTAAGGCACCAGAAACGTTTCCTCAACACCAGCCAACTCAACCTTTCACCCTCAGCCTTTATGTTGCGCCCCAATAGAGCAGTAGTTAGTTGTAACGGCAGTCACTCCCAGAAGTACGCAGATAACTTAAACCCCACCAAAATAATATTATGATAATAATAATTATTAAACAGTAAGAAAAGTCAATGGAAAATTAGAGCAGGTGGACTAGACACACTGATAGTATTTTTTTATTCTTTTTTATTCTTTATTCTATTCTGATAGTGTATCGCCCAAAATCCCTCCGTAAATCCCCTTTTTAGGAAAATGCCAGGGTAATAAGCCCGCCAAAAATATGTTGAGACCACGCCCCACCACCTTACCGGTATTTTGCACTCCAAGAAATGCGAATAAGCTATCATACTCGAGCAAATGCTCCTGGATCGGATCCATTTCTAACAAGATGTTTAGGTTCGAATTTTTCAAGATTTTTCATGGTTAATTTCCTCTGGCTTAGTTAGTTCAAGTGTGAGTGAAATGTCGAGTTTGCGGATGTCATATCCTACAGGAAGGGCACGAGGTCCCCTCACACCGGGCGGGGCAGACTTTTCCTTCCAGCCGGAACATTGTTATTCCGAACCAACCTTATTGTAACATCGCGTGGAGGCCCAATAAGAGGTGGGTGGGCGCGAAGGAACCTAACCCCACACGTGCATGGGTGGCCACGTGAAGTATCATAGTATTGGAAGCGAATGCAGGATGTCTTCGGTCCCCCGGCCTCGCTCCGCCTGGACATGAGCAATCTCTCCTGACGATGAGGGATGGTGGAACGGGGTTAAATCTGAAGAGCGGTACGGTACGGTACGGCGCGCTTTTACCCACGAGACCGTCAAGCGCCGGTGGTGGTGCTCTTGAGGAGGAAGAGGAGGAGCAGGGTGTTCAAGTTCTTGCGTGCCGAATCCAACCTATTGGTACGGGACTGTGCTCGAGCGGTGTGACTATGGTTGGTGATTTTCTCTTCCCCCTCCTGCCTCTTTCCTTTTTTTTCCCCTATCTTACCTCCCACTCTGGAGCACAATCGACCCTTCCAGAAGACCGCTTTGGGTATGATGGGATTGGCGTGGGGGGAAGAGGTGAGATTTTCATTATCCAATCGAACAAGTTGACAAATGCTCCTCCAGCGCACATTTGCTTCCCTGAGAGGGTTCGAGTTTTGTGACCGGTAATGTTTTTGTTTTTGTTTTTTTCCATAATACTCGTACTGGCATTTTTGCTTTTGTGATATTGGTTCATGTTTTGATTACCTGATACCGTTAAGGATCCATCGTACCCACTTTTACAACCCGATTCCGGGCCGTGGAAGATACGGGCGCTTTGGTGAAGCTGTCCGGAATTTTTTGCTCCGCTTGAAATGGAATGAATCAGATACATCCCAGTACTGTACCTGTACTAGTACATGGGGAAAGAAAAAATGGGAATGATTGTGGGGATATGGGGATGAGTCCTCTCTCCTTCTAATGGTTACTATTTGTCTGACCATCCCAACTATCACACCCGAGGTCACGGCGCCTTGTCCTTGGGGCTCTCCTGCTGTAGCTCTTGTTCTATTTTTTTTATCTATTTCTCTTTAACTGAACTTTCCTTCCCTGCGGCGTAAGGTTGCCCTGGTCCGCATTTCTTCTCCAGTCACTGTGGGGCGAGCGAAACCCTAGGCTGTTCACAATTACTGTACATTACTCTTGCTGGGATGATATATACTGTAGCCTGTGTACTACACTCACCAGCCGCTAAACTCGCGATAAGCTGTTCCCGAACTTTCAAAATAACGGTGAAAAGGACTTCCCGTGGTTGTTATCTTTCCCCGATTCTTCCTCTTCCTCCTCCTCCTTTCTTACCAATCTACACCTCCCTTCCCTCCCCTCCCCACCAATACTTCCCAAGGGATAGAGATAACTCTCCTTTCAAGACCCACTCACTGGTACAGCACACGCTCATCCTCAACCCGTCATCGTTGTACCTCCCCATACAAAGCCCGCTATACTTACTACCTTACTTACTCCGTGCCTAGAGACAACCGCGGGTGAATAGTAAACAAGCTCCGGTCGCGCCTCCCCCTTCCCACCTTGTTTCATTTAAACAATGAAAACGAAACCTCCATCTCCAACTTCCACCCCCGGGACCCTTCCCAAGAAATCCCGACCGTCAACTTCACCCACAAGCGGTAGCAGCATACCTTCACCCACTACTCATCGCCCAACCTTCAACGCTCCATCGCCCTCTGCATCCTCATCCACAGCCTCACCGCGACGACGAAGTTCGGGTGGACAGATTTCGCGCTCCATCTCTGCCTGTAACCGCTGCCGCTCTCGTAAAACTAAATGTGATCAATTATTCCCGAATTGCTCATCGTGTGCCAAAGCTGGCGTGGAATGTGTGGGGATCGACGCGGCGACGGGAAGGGAGGTGCCCAGGAGTTATGTGGACTGGTTGGAGAAGCGAGTGAGGTTCCTGGAGCAGGAGATGGGGATTTCTAGTGACGGTACCGAGTCTAACCCTAGCGGGACCGGAGGCGGGGGGGTTAAGCGGAAGTTGAGCAACGCTCCCTCGGAGGAAAGGAGGGAAGCGTCGGAGGAGCACGCTAGGGATGATGGAAGAAGAGATAAGGCACTACATTTACGCCCGGATATCGACAATCTCGTCAGTCAGGTCGGCCTTGTGAGCGTGCAGGGCACTAGCGCTCCCGGCTTCCTGGGAGGGACTTCGGGAATCTCGTGTGTGGCCTTGTTCCTTCAATGGTTGTGGTACTGGTTTGGGGTATTGGGGTCGACTAACCTTTTTGAATTAGTTTTGCCCGCTTGATGTTTGCAGCTGTAAAGACCACAAACAGGGACAACCCCCAATCCTCCCAACCGACATCTATCCAATCTACCCCCGCCGGTTCCTCTCCCAAGCCTCCCAATGCGGACTCCGAGGTTGCGGCGGATTCGTCCACCCAAATCCCACGCAGCCGGCAACGTCCCGCACCAGCTCCATTCCCTCGCCGTCAGGTAGGGGAGAATTATGTTGACATATTCTTCAACCAGGCCAATCCGCAAACGCCAATCCTGCACAGACCATCATTTGAAAAAGTGTTCCGGCAGGCGTGTTCGAAGATCGAGGAGGAGGGAGGGAATGGGTTACCGGCGAATGGGGGCGCAGGGGGAACTAGTGGGGGCGAAAAGGATCACCAACACCGTGCGGATTTGTATTTCCTGTACATGGTGTTCGCCATCGCTACGGCAATGTCTTCGCGGACGGAGGCCTTGCCAGAGCGGTATCATGCGTCGGCGATGCTGCACATGGACTCCCTTTTCTCGTCCATCGCACTCACAAATAATCGTCTGGATGGGTTGAAGGGGATACTACTCTTAGCTTTGTACTCCATCATGCGACCTGCAGCCCCAGGTGTATGGTATGTCGTTGGCGCAGCGATGCGGCTGGCAATCGACCTTGGCCTGCACCAGGAGAATCCGCAGAAGGCGGAAAAGATGTGGGACCCGCTCACGGTCGATGAGCGGCGACGGCTCTGGTGGTGTACATATTGCCTTGACCGGCAGATCTGCGTTTACCTTGGACGACCGTTTGGGATTGCGGATGAGGCTATCGAGACCCCCTTTCCCGTGGAAGAAGTTGATGGGTGGAGCGACGCGCAGCAGATCGAAACGGGTGATGATGATAAGAGAATCAGGTCCTGTCGAACAGTATCGATACACATCTTCAAAATCCGCCAAATCCAATCCGAGATTCAACAGGTTCTTTACCAGTCTGTTTCGGCGCTTCCCCGACGATTTGCCACTGTCGAAGGGTGGCGCAAGGACGTTGAATCGCGGCTAACGTTATGGTGCGACTCTGTGCCAAAGTCGAGAGCCGAAATGAGCAACTGTGGATATAACCTCTCCTTCATTGATCTGAATTATCAGCAAACACGACTGCTCTTGCATGGGCTATGCCCCACCGTCTCAACTCCATCCACGGAAGCATTCGAAGTGATCGCCGACTCGGGGAGTAGAATAATAAGGCTTTACCGGCAGCTCCATCGCGAGAAATGCATCAATTATACCTGGCTCGCGTGTCACAACCTTTTCATGGCGGGGACATCCTATCTTTACGCCCTTTGGCACTCCCGGGAGGTGCGCCGCAAGACAACCGTCGAACAGATAGACTTCCACAACCTAGCCTGTGTCGACGTCCTCGGCAGCATGATAGACAAGTGCCCAGCGGCCCAGGGCTGCCGCGACGTCTTCGAATCACTCGCCTCCGCCACCGTCCAACTCTGCGCGAGCGAGTGCTCAGTTGAGCATCCAAGCGCCAAACGCGTAAAGATAGAATGGCAGCAACATCAACACCAGAAGGAACTATACCAGCAGCATCAACAACAAATCTTCGAACACGAATCCCAAGTCATCAAGAACCTCCCCACATCACTCGCGAATATCGTACACGTACCCAGTCCTCCGCCTGCATATAATCACCCTGCACCGCCGCCCACTTACAGTGACGCTGAAATGCTCATGCCGCCACCACCGCAGCCGTACAGAACGGACCACCACAACCCTCACCAAAGCCACTATTATGATGCAGCCCTCCATGGAAACCCGGTGGAAATGATGGCCGTGATGGATGGCCGTGGGCTCTTTGAAATGATGCGGGAGGTTGGCACCGCCGACCCATCTGCCCTGTGGGAAGGAAATCCCGCTGGGGTCGCTGGTGTGCATTATGGGGCTGGAGGGGGCATGGGAATGGTTGGTGGTGGTGGTGCAGAGCTTTTTGGGAATTGGCCAGGGTTTTGAAACGAAGGATAGATTTGCTTGTTTGGCTTCGTGGGAAACTTTTTTTATTTTGTTTTATACTTTTTGTCGCTCTTTTTTTTCCTCCTTTTTCTCTTTGCTATGTACCGTATGGGAGTTTTAGTGTGGACTTTTTATTTTACTGATTATTTTTCACGACGGGAACTGAATCTTTTCTTCTTTCTGCCAACCTTCGAGTTCTTAAACTGTAGTAGGAATTGTGAATGATTTCGATTTCCACATCGTATAGTGGAGTATGGTGCTCCCCCCCCCATTCTACCAGTCCTATACACAACCTATCCACCCCGTAGCTCACCCGTGGCGGCAGAGCACCCCAATATAAACCCGAGTGCCCCCTCGCACAACGGGCACAGACACTAGAATCATAACCCAGCACTCGTCGAACAATTTGCTCCGTCCCCCGCCAGATTTCATTCCCCGGGTATGATACCTCTACCGCGATCTGCCATGCATAACCCACCACGCCACTAAACATCTTCCATATCATTTTACACCACACACCACACACCGATCCTACCCCCTCCCTCCACCTCCGTCCGTCCATCCCCATTTTCTTCTCCATTGGCATCGCTGGGGCGTGTGTACTTCCTTGGATCCCTGCCTGCCGACCGATTACTCTTCCTCGGTTGGCTATAAGCCAAAGTGATTTTCCTCTTGCGCTTCGTGTTTTCTCAGACTACTATAATTCATACCCTTTTATTGTGGACGGTAATACCCTATCAGTAGACATTCTCACGCGATTGTTGGCAGCAGATAGAGCCTGGGGCGGTGGAGCGTCAAGATTACCAACTCCTAATCTCCTTTTCTGCCAGGTATGGTGCGGGGGGCGTCTATAGCGTGCACCAGCCCCGTCTCGAAATGTAAATTCCTTAAGAAACCAGGGTAAGGCAATATTTAATCAACTCTTAAAAGCTCCAAATTTCAATTCCCATTGTCTTTGTCTTTGTCGTTATTTTTGCAATACTTTTCAGTGTCTATCCCGGAAAGAAATTTAAAATCAAAAATAATATCACAATCAACCTACCAGTTTTCCTCCGCTCTTCCATTTTTCAAGATAACTTCTTCTGTTTCTCCCACCCCATATCCGCACACACACCTACACACATGCCGTGAATACAAAACACCATTCTGATTCAAGATTTGTTGACATAGCTACACACCAAAGCATTGCACAAGGGGTCCATAAATCAATTTGGCAGCGGCACACACTCCGGGACAAGCAAGACCAGCCAAGGTCAAAAGGTATATTCGACGACAGGACAGAAGGCGGGAAAGCCTGTGATGGACTCCGTTTGCTAAAACTGAAAGCGTGAAAGGCTCCTTTGGTAAAGCTCGTAAGGTATAATGTAATATAGTAATAGTATGTCATCTGTCCCACTTTTCAAGCCGAATATCTACAAGAGAATATTATTTGTTTGTGAAAATATAAATAAAAAGCAATGTCTTACCTTACTGCCTTACTATATCATACTGGAAATGCTGTACGGGGGATAAGAACGAAAACCTCGTATCGCCAACGCCCAAGAGGGAAGAACCTACTATGATACGCCAAGCTCCTGTGCTGTGGAGTATCGCTCGGACTGGTGTTTGGATAAAAGTGTTGTTCGGAATGCGTTGGAATGGCGGTTGGTATGTGAAGTAAAATAAATCGTTCGGTAACGTGAGGAGAGAAAAGTATAGATGGAGGAATGATGGATAAAAACCAGCAGGAGATTTTCTTAGGCGCTTAATTGAAAGGTCAGAATTCGCATGTCATTTTTAAGTAGATAGCAAGGCCCTTTTATCCCAAGATGATCTACATCTTGTCCGGTGCCTGTGTGGATGAAAATTTTCATCTCCGGTAAGGGGACTAAAGTCTTGTCTCTTTGAAACAACAAGGAAACAGAAAAGAAACAAGAGAGAAATTTTCACTGCAAGGAGATAGAGAGGAAACAGTACGGAGACAACAGGGTGATAACAGTTTCAGACATCAAGTAAGGTATAACTGAAAGTTCGTGAAGATCATATAGGAAACCAATAGTAGGTATGAAATCGAAACCCAGGGACAATATTCCAACAGTATGATACCGAGGATTGTGGTGTGGGCCTCTTGAAATATGGGTTTGATTCTTGGGCCAAGAATCAGTGGCTCCACTGAATTTGGATGTTTGTATATATATACAGTTTGTATCGATCGCTATTATTGTTTTGATAGTGATTAGTGGATGAAATGATACTCTACTTAAGGTTGACTCCGGCTTCCAAGGAGCTGTCTTATGACTACCATAGGCCAATTATGGTATCATTCATTATTCGATTACCCAGTAGGTGAAAGAGCAACGACTGCCTCTCCCCATTATTGGGTAATGGTGCTAGCACATATACTACTAGCAAGCTTGGCCTCCGCATACCAGAAATGATGGCATTGCCATACCACCCGCAGAGATCGTTATGGGTAAAGTATTTCCACTCCTGACCACCTTCCCGAATAACTATCATAATATTGGATTTATTTTATTTTATTTTCTACCGGGAGATAGAGCACCCGCATCTTGCTCGAAACACCGAGCAAAAGAAATACCTTCTCGCCAAAAGCTTATATATTTTCTACAATAACATGACACCGGCTATCTAAGCTCACCTAGCCAGTTACAGAAATAACAAAACACTTGAGAACCACTCGCAAGGGAACGTTCACAGCTAATTGTATCCGAGAACTAGGCAGCAAGATTAAGATGGCAGCTTACGAAATGCTCAATAAAGTGTTTTCCAACATCTCACCAGGCGATCTGGCGCTAGTACCCCTCTCTCTCATAGAAGCACTTTTTATCATTTCCTCCAAATGGCGACGCATGGGAGGAAACTCTAATTTCGTCCGATTCCATTACTCATTGCAACCTATCCTTCTCTCCTCCTTCTGGCAGAAATTTTGTTGAACTTCCATGCGCTTGATTATATCGTTTTACCGAGCTACCATACTCAGAGATCCCTTAGCGTTGCCCTTATTGAGCACGAACAAGTAAGCAACGGCCAAGAAAAGATGCTTAAGGATTATCTTTTAAGCGTTCGATAGTTTCCGGTCAATGGTCAATTTCTCCTTCCCCTCTCCCACCCTCCCTTGCATTGCCTGCTTTACTTGTGGAAGTCGCATTGTTGGCAGTTACTGCAGTAGATATCGTGATCACAATGTTATGTCCGGCTGTTGCTTACGGAGTATCATACTTTGTAGTCAAACCCCCGAGGGATGGTTAGTTACCCGGCCGGATGTTGAGAATGTGTGTCACGTGCGTTGCAAGATCTTGGAGTTGCTTCGCTGTTAGGGTACAGTCGTGTCCGGAAAGTTTTCGTACCCTCGCATGGCAACCGCACAACCACAACCTCCAACCATAAAAATTTGTAAAGAATTCAATTAAAGAAAACATGATAGTATTGCTAGTAGACAATAAAAAAACATTATTACCATTTTGTATGGCCTCCATTTGCATCCAGTACAGCTTGCATTCTCTCAGGCATCCTATCTATCTATCCATCCAACTTCTCTTGGGGAATTAAATCCCACTCTTCCTTTGCTGCCTCAAACAATTCAGCTGCACTATGAGGCCTTCTTTCCAGTCTGGAGAATCGCTTGGTAAGGGCTCTTTTGAGCAGTGCCCATGTGTTCTCAATAGGATTGAGATCTGGTGAGTTGGGTAGCCAAAGGAGTTTTTTGTAACCACAGTCTGCTTCCAATTTTCGATTTTCCTCACCACCATGCCAGGAAGTATTGTCTGCAGCTAGGTAGATATTGTCAGAAGGTCTATCCAGACCCTCTATAAAAGGGACAAGGTAAGGCTGGTGGATCTCAGTGGCATATTGGTGAGAGTTTAGGCCAAGTCTATCTCTTTTACTGGTCCTTTCCTCCTCCCTTCTCTTTCTCACAAGAATTAACTCAGTCTTTCCTCCCTTCATCATTGCAGCATATACTTCAATGCTAGTCCTTCCAGACTTAAAGCTAGGCTTTAAGTTTTTTTCTTTCAGCTCTTCACCAGGTCTAACTCTGACCTTTCTGCCTGTTGGATTTAGATCATAAACAATAGTAGCTTCATCCACAAAAACAACCCAATTCCATGCCCCTTTCTAGTTCTTCCTTCTCCTAGCAAACTCCCTTCTTTTCTCCTTTTGTCTCTTTCTCCAAAAAGGCCTTTTCCTAGGTATCAGAAGATTAAAACCAGCTTCTGATATGATCTTATCAATAGTGGTTTTACCAAGACCAATATTCGCTTTTTTGGTAATTTCGCATAACGCTAAATGAGGCTCGGCATCGATAACTGACTCCACTATCTTTCTTTTTATGTCGGTAATCTTGGTTGATCTTCCAACTCTTTTTGCATGGTGAGTATTTCCACCCTTGAATTTAGCTCTTTTAACCACAGACTGAACAGTTGACTTGGATGCACCTAAAGACTTAGAAATTTTGTCATATCCCATATCTGTATGTTTATACAGAGTATAAATTTCCTTATTCAGGTCTTCTCTTGCTCTTAAGTTATGTGGAGGGGCCATGGTGAGGAGGGTTGTTGTGGTAATAAGGTGTTATGGGGTTGCATCTCAGGGGTCCGAAAACTTTCTGGATACAACTGTACCATATTTTTTGCTATTAGCCGGAAATCTGCCAGGCCGTGATCTGCATAGCGCAAACCAAGTGCAGGGGTCCTGAGACATCAAGTTACCCTCCTTTGATAGAAGAAATTTCGCTAACAACTGTGACAACTATACTCAGTCATTCTTCCACCATTAGCCTACACCCTATCAGATGGAGAAAGAATGTCATCCAGCTCTTTCAACAAGAGCTCTGCAAGTTATTTCATGATTGCTAGTCTCTGAGGTTTTTTTCAGAGAAAATGTACACCTTGAACAGCAACTCCCAGTAAGGCTTTTGGTGTTTGCCGGGAAATCTATGGAGAATTTTCCTAGATGGGGGGGACTGTCATTGTCCTATAACTGAGAAGCTGAATGATAGTGTC